TAGAGTCGTATAGTTAATTCTGGCATGTTCAAACAATAACAACAACAACAAACACAATAACACAATACCCCACCTCCATTGCGCTCAGTCCGCACTGCTCTTTCACAGTGTGACTGTCTGCGTACTCAACCAGCAAGAACTGCTGGGCCTGAGTATTCGTGCACCCCCCCTACACAAGTAGTCACGACACGAGCAAATACTTTTCACTGCACACCTGCAGCATCCGCCCAGAGCGTGAGGCGCACACTCTTGTGCCCTGTCTACATACTCTGAGCAGATACCTCTCTTAAAATGCACTGAGCGTCAAGCAATGCACAGTACCCTTCCAAGAGTGTGTGCCTGTCACCAGATTTTGTGCACAGCGCCAGAGGTGAGTGACTGTATGCATGGCATCCACCAAGAGCATGTGCCCATCACCGCATGCTGTACACATTGCCGCAGTGAGTGACTGGGCAGATGGTATCCGCTCAGAGCGTGTGCATGTCGGCCACCAATGCAGACCACAGCGCTGTGGCGAGTCAGTTTATAGTGTCCGCCCAGAGCACGTACTCTCTCACACAGGTGTTAATGAGCATTTGTAGATGGAGTGATGTCTAATTCGATTCCTGCTGACTCCTACTAGTCCTCATAACAATGATACTCACTTGAGCTCCTCATGTACATTGTCCCAGCTGTCTAGTAGATTAATACCTAGATGCAGGCAAGCTGGACACTCTAAAGCGAGCTTCCCGGGCTTTTTCCCATTGATACCAGAAGGATTGTGTGTCCTACCAGTGTGCTTGAATATCTTCAAATGTTTTTATTTGTGCACCATGCAGTAGAGAGCCTTATAGCAATCCTGCAAGTAATGAGTAACTCTGATCAATGTAAGTAACAAAGCAAGTACTTACATAAGTTTTTGTAAGGTCCAAGTAATCAGTAATCTGCTCCAAAGCCATATAGATATTGTAAATGCTGCACTTTGACTGCCTGGTCTGTATATGAACTGTTGTGAGGATGGCAAATGTTGTGCACATCATTGGATCCTGGTTGGTGGCTGGAAACAGCTGGTATTGTAGAAGCTACTGCCAGTTGTTTCCAGTGGCTGCAACTTTGTCACAGCTGCAAAATGATAGCGCAACCAGGTGTATACCATTCGTGTAGATTATGACCATGCACTGTCTGGCCAGTTAGAGGTTTGCGCACTGTTTGCCTGTCTGATGGCCAAGCTGAATTATGAGGCCAAAATCTCTGAGTGTTGTTTTCTCAAAGTATGAGCCATTCCATGTCTATTAAAAATGTGTGTAAGTAGGAATATGCACAGTACAAGTCAATGAGATGCACTTGGATTCAGTGGAAGAGGTTGTGTATATGTGCCAAACAGACACACTCCTGGCATTGTAAAGGCATGTAGAAACAGTCACGGCACTGATGTCATGAGGTTGCAACTGTCTTGTCACACATACACACACAATACACCACCTCTTGTCAACATTCCCACACTCCTCCCATTGCACTATCTCGTCCAGGTACTTGTCCCTTAGTGGGATCTGGTTCTTCAGTGGCTGATCCTGCTGGCCATAGTTGGTCAGAGCTCAAAGCAGTTTGTTCCAGATTAACTGCTTACAAATAACACATATTGGTGCTTTCTATTGGACTCGCTCCTCTTCTCCATTTTCTGTTCGGTGTAGATGGCGTCAACATTGATGTTGGCAAGGTCAGCAAAGAAAAAGTTGGCTGGTGTAGAAGGCTTGCAGCAGGTACTTTGACGTTCTACTACCTGAACGCTGTCTTTGTTGCATATGACTTGACAACAGTTGCAAGAAATTTTTTTCATAGAGTAGTTGACTATAACTGGTACGTGATTATTTTCAAGGTCGAAGAGAGAGAAGTTGATATTTGCCATGTTGACTTCTCTGTTCCAGAGAGCTTTGCACTTCATAGCTGAGAACTATGTAGATATATCTAAGTACTAGGGCTATGTGGGCTGCAGCACAGGTGCTTGGCAGGTACAATTCTTCATGCGTTGCCATACTACAAAATTGCTTCAATCCTTGCCATACTACAAAATT